GATTTATATGCATTCACAGCCGATATTGAGTCCCAAACAGTTTATGAATAGTCCAACAGAAGTTTGCCACAGTCTTTTGGGATAAGGCTGATAAGCATCCACCTTTATCTCCCTTGAAATGCTGCCAACGATTAAATTGCCAATTAGCTGTACAAGGCCAAACGGAACACAAAGTCAACACAAAGCTTCAGATTTTAAACCAACCAGGATGAACAAAGTTGCTTCCTGCAAAGGCTCATGTCCCTTTCTTCCTCCTTTATGCTTATGGGAGGGGTAATCACCTCCAAGCCTTACTCCCAAGTCGCCCCTTTTGTCTTAACTGTTCTTGCCTTCTGGCAACTCTGCGCAAGTGCGCACTGGGAATACGCTCCCCCTGTTCCTCTGCCTCGCTGATGTCAGATTCTGGAGGCTCCAGAGTCCGCATATAACTCTCAGATGGCCCTGGCCCCATCTCTTTGTCAGATGCAGATCCCTCATCTGAACCTTCCCCAGACTCCAGGACTGACCCATATTCCTCCCCACTGTCCGACTCTGCTGCCAGCTCCGCAAGCCGCCAGCAGACCACAACAGGAATATTTGATTTGAAGCCATCAGCATATGACTTTTTAAAATGAATAAAACACATATTTTGTGTATTTGGATATTTAGTGTTGCAAATATTTATTTATCTATTCATTTATCATATTTAAGAACTGTGCATCTCCCTCAGAGTATTATTAGTATTAGAAACTACCTGTAGGTCCAAATTTTGTTAGCTGAATACAGAATTTCTCCGTTTAATGTTGAAAGAGAATTTAATCCACAACCAAATACAACATTTGATAGCTATATTGAACATTCCAAGGGTTAATATACTTCTTCTTATCATTCCAGTACAATACTCTTATAATAAGGGACTGCCAGGGCAGAAGTTCCTCCTTCCCATTCTTTTTAATGGGAGGAAGGGCATATAAAGGAACTGGTGTGGTGTGACCAGGGTATAGTGCAAATTGGTAGACAGGTTTTCTCAGCTTCCCAGATTTACAGCTGAGAGTGACTCTCTTCCATGTGTACATCACAAATTCAGTTCCCAGCATTCATATTGAATGGTGAAATCATTCTCTAAATGATGGGGTCTTGTGTTTTTTGTAGGAAGGGAAGACGTACGAGCAGCTGAAGAAGGAACTGAGAGATGCCAATGACGTTATCAGAATCGCAGCTGTAAGTCAGTTTGCTTATACTGGGAGAACCACTGCCCATGGTTAAGCAATTGGCTGGAAGAGAAATGGGAAACTGCGGTATTTCAGTCATATCCAGTCACTGATCCTATAAGCCCAGAGGTGGAGATGTAGTGATCCTTCAGATGTTGCTAAAACCTGGTGCCCAAAAGATACCAGGCATTATGGGAATATACTAAACATTAAAATTCAGTAATAATACCAAAGGAACACATGTGATCTAAGATGATACATTTCCTGTGTTTTCTATAGTAGCTTTCCATGGCCTCAGATAGAGAGGCTTTCTCGGAATCTGCTTCCTAAGATCCTTCAAACAGGAAATGTTGGAAAGTGAAAACATGATTTGCTTATGAGCTCTGGCTCCACTACATACTCCATCCTGCAGCCTTATAAACCAGTGTAGCACACTGGGCTCGTGCTGATGCACTTTTGTTTATCTTCCTCTATCCATCTCCTCCTCTTAGCTTCCTCGGTTAAGGCGGCTTTGGATTGATGACATGTTTTTGAATTGCCTGTGCAAAAGTTATTTCAGAGCTTGTGTGCTGCTGAAAGATGATGGCAGTGATAGAATAACATAAAGCTCCTGTTAAGACCAAAGGATCTATTTTCAGAGAAGGGTTTCCACAACATCCTACACAGTTCATTGTTACTTTTCCTCCCAAACCCCTTTACTGGGGACCAGCTGCTCTGCTTAATCTCTGCGTCAGGCACAACTTGTCCCCAAAGCAGAGAATCAGCAGGAGAAAACACCGCACACCTAAAACAGTGAGAACACATGGTAGAAAAAGTGATTCTTACTCTTTAAATTAAGCCATTTGGTATTTAACAATGAGATATGACTAAATCTTTGCAATAGGATAAGCAAACACTAGGCTAGAAGAGGGATGGGGAACCCGTGACCTTCCATAAACTTTAGCTACAATTTCCAGCATCACTGATCATTTATTGTTATCTAGGGCTGCATAATGTCGTCTCCCTGCTATCGAATGTCCTGCCAATAACCTCCAGATGTTTTGGAAAACCATTCTAGCAGGGAACCCTGGGAGTTTTCGTTCCACTTGTTTTGAGGATACCAGAAGGCTGGTCCAGGAGATAAAATTTTCAGCAAGCTTTTAAGAATCTGCTGTGCTCTATTTAGGATGACAGACTTGAGACCCTGAGCAGCAGCAAGAGTGCAATCTATCCTCTTGAAGTTCTGCTTTGCAGCCCGGAGGACTTGCCCAAAGATGTGGATCCTGCTAAGAAGGAGGTGAGTCCTATCGAGCATTTGCCACGGGCTGAGAAATGTAATCAGACTTAGCCTCAAAGATTCTATAAAGTCATCCCTTAAATGAGTTGTTTTAGAACTGAGGGGCAGGATTTACCATTTTGGACTTGCAGGTAGTATATTCCCAATTCTCATGGCTGTACAAAGTCAGATCCAAATATTTTGGGTTATACCTGGTGATATGCCTGCCTTCTCTCTTTCTTTTTTTATATAATTAAAAAAAAGTACAATATAAAACATAAAAGTTCAATATCCATATAAACAGCCAGGCCAGGCTTCTGAAGTCATAAATGGCAGATTAAGAGATAAACCTGGACCTAAAACACATGCACACACACACACACACACACACACCCAAAATAGGGATTTCAGAAGCTTGAATCGCAACTCACCGCCAAGCATATCTCCCCAGATCTTATTCATCTACAAAATTAGTATATCAGGAAGGATTCTAGCCCTAATTCTCTCATTGAAAGCTTATTTTTTTCCCTGTTATATAGTCAGCCTGCAGTTAAATAACTGGGACAGCACGTGCTAATTCCTTTATCATTACTCCAATTTTTTTTAGTTGTTTGCTAAGGTTTCTCATGACAGCATCAAGTTATGTTTTTCAGTGCATAATGTTCAGTGTGGTAAGCCTTTACGTTTCATTAGGATAGACTATCCAGTGTGGTTTCTTTCTGTAATCAAAATAAATCTCTTAAAAGCAATTAGGGTGATTAATTGAGTCTGGTGGGATCTGTAAAGCTAATTTTAACACAACTGGGAGAAATCCCATTGTTTCTACACTCTGCTCCAGCCTCATCCTTCTTACTCATCTCTTGTTGTTTTTCCCCGATCCACAGAATTTCCTGTCAGATGATGATTTTATGAGAGTCTTTGGAATCCCCCAGGAAAAGTTCGCTGCCCTCCCTACTTGGAAGCAACTTCATATGAAAAAAGAAAGGGGTCTTTTCTGAGAAAAAAAGAAAATATGGCATTTCTCAAACTCAAAAAAGGAACCATCCTTCTTGGGTTTCTCGTGTGTTGGAGGAGCCAAGTCCAGAAGCAGCTTCCTTCAGGAGCTGTCTTTCTTTTAAGAGCATTATCCATATTGGGCCTAAGTACATTCAGAAAGTTGTTTTAATCTATTAAGGGCTGCCGCTGTCCAGGAAGTTTATTCTCCTCGCTGTCATTGACTACCCACTCTCTTGTTAGAGCCTCCATTCGCGGAAAACTCACTGCTTGTGAAGTAAATTGAACTGCTGAAACTCGGCAGATCCACTAGTAATTGGTGCTGTGCTTTGGGCAAATATCTACCCTATAAATAGCAATTGGGTTGACCCCCTGGAAATCCAAGCTTTTTGGCAGGGCTACTGCTTTGAAACATGTATTGTTAGATGATCATCATTAAATATGTGAATAGTACATTATTTGCTCTGACCTTTATCTATTTTCAAGGAATATTGGAACTGTGAAAGGGAGACCTTTGAGGTGTTCTTGGATTACAACTCCCGTGATTCCCAGTGACTATGCTGGTTAGGAGCCATGGTGGGTAGAATGCAATATTGGAGGCTAATTAGAGCCCACTGTTAGTAGTTCAATCTTGTCCAGCTCACGGTTGACTCAGCCTTCCAACCAGGGCCATCTTAACAGCATTGTGAGCCCCGGGCAAAGCAGTATACTGGGGCCCCTGTGACAACTACTCACAGGAATAAAAATAAAAGTAAACATATATATTTGCATGTTAGTATTAATTAAAAAATGCAGAATATAATAAATATGTTGCTGTATTTAAATGATACAAGGTGCACTGAAGGGTTAACACTTAAGAGATTAGTGTGGGGCCCCTACACATCAGGCCCATGTGTTAAGACGGCCATTTCCATCCTTCCAAGGTGGGTAAAATGAGGACCCAGATTGTTAGGGGCCATATGCTGACTCTGTAAACTGCTTAGAGAGGGCTGTCAAGCACTGTGAAGTGGTATGTAAGTCTAAGTGCTATTGCTGTTGCTATTCTGGTCTTCATTGTTAACAAATTACAACTGAGGATAGTTGTTCCTATGCTCTTCTGCGAAGGGGCTGTAGGAAGTTTCCAAGGGGTATGGGGAATTTCTGTTCCTCATGATTCAGCCACTTACATCACAGACAATTCTCCCTCGTTTGGTGTCTTCCGGATGCCTGTCAGTCCCAGCCTCAACTTGTCACTGGCATTTGGAAAAATCCACCCCTTCCTTCCCCCTCATGAATCCTTTTCCGTATTTATTTTACTGCTTCTTCATAAAGACGCTTCTTTAATCAGAATAACAAGAGTTATTAACTACTCAGCAAAATAAATATTCTATTCTTTCTGGTTAAAAGCTTTAAAGGTATGCAAAAGGGACATGCCGTTTGCTGACAGTAAGTTTCAAAGAATCCTACTGATTTCACTTACAGAAAATAAAGGCAGATTTGTCACTTCAGAATGCTAATGGAAACAATATGACAGAGGCTTGAATCAGAGCCACAACCCTCATAAATTTACCATTACAATCCCGGAAGGGACTCGTACTTTATTTGTTCACATTAACATCTGTTTGACATATTTTGTCGGTTACATTCTACCAAAGCCTCTTCTGCGTTTTCGAAAGGCATCCAATGTTCTTCATTCTTGGCTTTAGACGTAACATTACTGGCATTACCATTACCAGCTACTTCTGTGAATCGCTCCCAAGCCCAAGCTAGTCTGACGTTCCCAGTCTGACAAACCAATCTTGTGCCTAGCTTGATTCGGACAACTCTGGATCTTCTCCACATTCGAACCGCACAAAATCCAACACAGACATACCAGTCGGCTGAAGGTATTGTCCCAAGGAAATAGTTGGCTCCATAACGTATGGCTGGGCAAGCATCTTTGTTTCAGATTCATCTCCGGGTTCGTCTTCCGGAGAGCCCAGAGAGAGAGGGGCCATCCCAACCACATGCTGGGCCAGTCTTCTGCTCAGTTCTGCAAAGTCAGACTTTGGGTCTTCCTCCGAGGAACTGCAGATCACCAGGGCACCGTATTTGCCAAATAACATGTTAGAAAGCAACGAGGTGCTCTCGGAGGGTGACCCGTGTACGTAAGAGCCAATGAAGAAATCCTCAGGCACCGATATGCAGGCTGCCCTCTTAACAATCATGTTCTCACCTAGCTTCCCTTTAAAAGAAAAGAGAACAAAAAAATTAAAAAGGGGAGGAGAAGCAGCAGCAGAGAGGACAGCATTTACCAATAAAGGTGCAGAGACCGTTTCAGGCCTCACCAACAGGTGGCAAAGCAACAGTATGAGTAAGATGGAATATCTGAAGAGTCCCTTTAAAATTACGATAGTAGCTTAAGAGTTGGATGTCCCACAAATGGCAGAGACTGGACTGGGTCTCTTTAGGCCAATTACTCTTTCTCAATCCAACCTCCCCTCTCCCAGGGATGTTGTAGGTGGAGGAATCAATGAGAAGAAGTCTACATTACGTGCCTTGTGCGCTTGGGAGAACAGGCAGAATATAAATCAATAGAATACTACATCTCTCCACCATCTGTCATAAATTCCATCCATTCAAAAGTAAAACACAGTACATGAAAACCGAAAATTGCTGCCACCCCCTTCTGCTCATGGCTGGCTATTTAACTGGGCACCAAACACTTACCTATTGCCAGAGCAAGTTGGTCAGTGAGCAAAGATCCGCCTGGTCCCGTCCTGAGTTGAGAAAGCTCATCAGAATTCAAGAAACGCTAGAAAATATTCAAGCATGGTGTCAATTAATTATTTTTAATGGAAACCTTGCTAAGTAAATCCAGGGACTAGTTCCTTTTAACGACTCGGCTGTAGGCATTGCTTTTCTTCTGATGTGGTAAGGAATTTGGAATAATGAAAAATGGAATGAAGAAAAAGGTGCCAACCATAGCAGCAGCAAATTGTCAGCAAGAAGCAGTAGTCTAATGCCCCGGCAGGGTTTCTACAGTATTTTCCTACAGTATTTTTCTTTTATCCAACTCATCCAATTTGCCACTCGCTAATAGAAATAGGGCCGTTGTGCTCTTACAGCAAATCATATCTAGAAAGCTTCAGAAATTGCCAGCTACCAGTTTTTAAAAGTTATTTAAGTTAAAATGTATTTAATTTTTTTAGAAGACCATCTGCTATCTAGCTAAGGTAGTGATGGGTTACAACCAAGTTAAACAGTAGAATCAATAAAAAAAAAGTAAATAAAATTTAAACACATATTTAAAACACACATAAGTACAACAACACTGGTGGACAAGCACTTGACAAAAGGCCTAATTGACTTATAGGTGCTGTTCTTGGAAGGCAACGCGCAACAGAATTACTGAGGAAGCCTCCTTCGTCCTAGCCCAGTTTCTGATGGAGACGGGAACAGGGCATCCAATAAAAATACAAGATGGTCATTAACCACTGTCAAAAGTGGCGGCAATTTCCAGAGCCTTTGACACGTGCTGCTAGATATTCTTTAGCTTCACTGAACAGATGATGCGCGTAAACTCTGTATCTTTCCTGGCAACTTCTAACTCTTATTTTAAAAAATGAGAAAATAAGCTCATTACAAAAATAAGCTTGCGAAGAGGCCAAAATCATACATCGGAGACCTTGAGTCTTACCTACATGCATACTAAACGTACATGCCCCGCATTTCACTATCGAGAGTGATGCTGGGCTGACTATATGTACCAGGCAGGGCCTCTGCCTCAATTGAGGTGTTTTTTTTTTTTGAGGGGAAGGTTTCTATGTCGTACAACAGGACTGAGGCTGCATTTATAGCCCAAGTGCTGATCTCCATCTCACTGCATAGCGTTTTTTCCAAAGGAACATTAACACAGGACTTGTGGAATTGGGATACCTGATCTATTGCCGAATCCTTGCCTGCAAAAAGCTGCATTATGCGGGAAGGTTTGTGTGCAAAACCTGTGCTCTCAACAAAGAGATGCTAAAAATGCTTCCTGGCTACTGCTTGAATATTGTAGGTTTTACAGAAGAGTAACACAAACACGGGATATAGTATAATTATGCCCCCAAAAGGAAAAAGCTGCAAGGAAAATGAGCACTATAGCTTTGTTTATATACTATAACTAATTATCTTTTAAAATCACACCGGTTTCTCTCTTGCATATGCTTAGCAACCAGTATCTAAAGAGATGCAAAACGACGCTGGGAATCCAAGAAAGAATGCTCTGCAGCTCCACTATTTCAACAGTACTTTTTTCTATAGCAAAGGTAAGGAACCTACAGACACAGAAGGTTGTGTAGCCTATGAGAAGTCTCTTTGGTTTCACTGCTGGATTTGACAGTAGTCATAATTGGTGGCATGTTTTATAGCACTTTAAGGTAAGCAGCACTTGAAATCTGTGTTTTGAGCTACTTTCCACACAACTCAAAAAGAAAAAAACCACAACTCCACGTCCCAAAATAGAACAAAAACCCCAGACCAATTGATATACAAATTCTGTTTATTTTGCATCGTTGGCCCATCACCCCACCAAAAGATGTCAACAATGGACTCCTGCCATGAAAAAAAAACCCTGAGCCATCCCTGTCCTGAAGCATAAAGCTCCTATGTTTTCTGGAGAGTTTTATCCACCGTAAGAATGGAACATTTTCTAGCCTGGAAACAAACAAACAAACAGAGAATGGTGGATTCAGGCTAAAAAGATCCTGAACAAGGAAATGGCCTAGATTACTTGAGGTTTTCTCACAATATAGGAATATATGAAATAGTAAATAAATAAATTTCATTCATTTACTTAATAGATGCAAGGTATGGGCCACGAGGCAATTTTGCTGCAACACTGCATTTTTCTTCTGAAGAACTTAATGCCAAAGAATCATTGCATTTCTGCAGGTGTTTCTGAGGATAGTATCACTTGGAATACATACCTGTTTTCTATTATTTCAAAATACATACCTGTTTCTGATCAGCAATGCACTAGTTTCTTAGACTAAGTCTTATGTGCCACGCTAGCCAGCCTCCACCTAAAAAGCTCCCTTTGACATCTACATTTTTAGTTGCCCAACTAAAGTTTTGTTTGAAGGTGCTCCTAAAGAACCAACCAGCAAGAACATTTAAATGCAGTGCTTTGAAATATTAGTATCATTTCTTCAAAATTACCAGATAGTTTTGAGGTCCACATACATGTGTTTATATCATTCTTACCTTAGCATACGTGTTTGACTGGTCTATGGTCTCCTTATGGTGAATCATTGTTCCAATAGCTACTTGCTGAACCAGCTGTTGAAATTTAACATTTTGGGCCACAAAATCCGTCTCACAGTTTACCTGTCAGAAAAGCATGGATAACTTAGAAATAGCTCACCAGCAGTTATATTACTAAAGAGGTTAAAACAGAGCTAGCTAGACACACAGACTTTCCCAAAGTCAAGCTGGCTGAAAGTGAGATCCTAAATTTTTAGAAATCTGACATTCTTCTCTCTTCCTTAGAATATCCTGTATTCTAAAACTACAATGAATCAAAGCTAAACATAGCACATGCAAAGTAATTGTTAAATGCTATTTTAATGTCCAAAATAGCTCTCTGTTTACTGTGTGTTCAATACTACTAGTTAGTTATTGTCTGGATCTACTTCTAAAGATAGTCCCACCATTGTAAGGTTTGTGCTTGTCTATTGAGAACTGGATGTAAAATGGCTGCTAATAGGATTATTAGTAGCTCCATTGCCTGTTGTCCCCCACAAGACTAAGAGAAAATGAAAATGGTTGCCAAACGGTTGCAGCTATCTCTTTATCTTTGACGCAGACTCTGAGCAGCATCCTATTACAAAAAAGCAGGATCCCAGCACCATATCATTTTATTCAATGCCAGTATTGCTGAACAAAAACAATAAAATAAAAGGGGAAAACCCAAGGAAGTTAAGCACACCATGTGTTTAAAAACCTATGACCAGTGAACTGACCTATGATTTAGATAAATTAGATTTCCTGATATTTGAATCTGGGAAAAGCCAGGAATATTTCCTGCATTGCCTCAGCAGTCTCAAAAGCAAGTATTTATGTTTACAGTGTTACACCATAAAGTGGCTTTTTAAGGAGAGCACTTGCTTCCAAACCTATACCCAGAGAGGCTTTTAGGAATTACAGCAAACTATAATGCAAACGTTTGTCTCTCTTTGTCTTTGACTCTCTCGCTATCCCTGATCACTAGTCCGGCTGCCTGGGGTCAGAGAGCAGTGGTGCAGAGACCTGTTTCAAATTCAAATTATGCCACTGTGAATTTGAAATAGGCCATTTTAGAATTTTAGAAGCAGTAATTTTAAGTTTGACAAGCAGTGAACAACACAAAAATACAATTCAATAAAGCCATTTCAAGCAGTAAACTGCACTGAGGCCCTGATAAAATCATCCAACCACCCCATGCCATCATTGTAAACTTTCTGGCCTCAGTGCCTGGACAAGGTCTTCATCCATCAGGTCAAAGGAAAGACTTACCTCTACCATTACGGCTGAGCTTCCCTCGTGAAGCAGTCCTATTAGACCTTCTTTGGCCTTCCGCCCTTGAAGTTTCAACGCTTTGCTCCATCCCTCCTTCTGTGCTTGTTCATGCAACCACATTTCAGCCTTTGAAGACAAATCCCAGCATGAGAGATAATCTAATCATTCGCCCATCTATTCACCCATACACATGTAGTCCTCGACTTACAACAGTTCGTTTAATGACTGTTCAAAGTTACAATGGCGTTGAAAAAATTATGACTTATGACTTGTTTTCACATGACCGTTGCAGCATGACCATGGTTACATGATCAAAATTCAGGAGTTTGGCAACTGATTCAGATTTACGTCTGGTGATCGTGGGATTACCTTTTGCAACTTTCCGACAAGCAAAGTCACTGGGGAAATCAGATTTACTTAAAAAACATGGTATTAATTTAACCATTGCAGTGAATGACTTAGCAAATGTGGCGAGGAAAGTCATAAAATGGGGCAAAACTCACTTAACAACTTTCTCATTTAGCAACATAAATTTTGGGCTCAATTGTGGTCGTAAATTGAGGACTACTTATATATAGAGAGAAAAAGATATATAATCCAGAAGCAAATTCAGAGAAAATAAGATAAATTAAACCATCAAACATCTCACAAGGGAATTACCACCTATTCTGATCTAGAGATAGACACATGTTAAAGGGCTCATGTAAATAGGGCACTGAGGGATATATAAATATTGGCAGGAATAATTTTCAAGAAACAAAGAATGCCCACTTCCAATATCCCCCAGGGACATTGTTTAATTGAGGGGATATTAGATTAAAAACAAATATATTTTCCCATTATACTCCTACAAAAGTGAATAGCTCTGAACATGTCCCTATTGCAAAGATATTTTGTAAGTAGAAAGAAAATCACTGAAAAGTTCCACAGTCACATTCCAGTTTTTTCCCATGTATGGATTTTCAGAGTAGTAGGAATAGCAGTGGGTGGTTCCATATCTGAGCACTTCCCTTCCTGTTTACTCTTTAACTGTATAAAGGTTTGCATAGAAAAGGCAACACCAAAAATGTGATTTTTATAATTAGAACTGCAGAAAAAAACAATTACTACCAATCTGCCTTCCGTTGAGGACCTATACACTGCACGAGTCAAAAAGAGGGCAGTGAAAATATTTACAGACTCCTCACATCTCAGACATAACCTGTTTCAACTCCTTCCCTCAAAACGACGCTATAGAGCACTGCACACCAGAACTAGACACAAGAACAGGTTTTCCCCGAAAGCCATCACTCTGCTAAACAAATAATTCCCTCAATGCTGTCAAACTATTTACTGAGCCTGCATTACTATTACGCTTCTCAACATTCCTATCACCCATCTCCTCCCACTTGTGACTGTATGAGTGTAACTTTGTTGCTTGTATCCTACAATCTATATTGACTGTTTCCTAGTATGATTTGATTGCTTTTTTGACTATCATTAAGTGTTGTACCTTATGAATATCTTTTATTTTTATGTAGACTGAGAGCATATGCACCAAAGACGAATTCCTTGTGTGTTCAATCATACTTGGCCAATAAAGAATTCTATTATGTTTGCCTATGAAAGTATGTATGAATGCACAAGGTAAGAAGAAACAAGAGTCAGTAAAAATTTAATTATATTTACTCCAGCCTAAATTCTTTAATGTCAATAGGATTTACTGTTTTATCAGCAAGCACAAGACTGCTGCTTTAAGACAAAATTGTACCTCAGATTTTAAGACAAGAAATTTTTTTGAAGCAGCATGTTCAGGGAGAAAGAATGAGAAAATGAAAGATATGGATTACAATATCATACACACACAGAAATTATTCTTACTTCTTCAATATTATCATCATATTTTTCCAAGGCTTTCTTGCAGTTTACAAAGGAATAGCCAGTTTTCTTCCTAAGTTTCATCAGTGCTTCCTTTGCTGTCAGGACAGGAATGCCAGGATGAAGGAAACGAGGCAAATGCCATTGCTGAATGGGGAAAAACAACAAATAAAATGAAAAGGTTTGACAAGGTTCTGCTAGGGAAGGCATATTCCCAAAGAGACTGTGCAGGTACCAATTCACCTGTAGCCAAGGCTGTCTTTTGATCTGGTGAGAACCTACAGAAAAGAGATGCATCTCTCTTCTCAGATGCTGAAGAAATGTAGTCCATAGTGCCAAACTGCCTTCGGAAGCATGGAAAAAACTTCAGTTTTTCCCAACCATCTGAAGCTTGGAGTATGGGAACAAATTTATATTCTTTATTGTGTTTGTAGAGTTGTAATAAACTACTCTAGGAAGTTTACAGTACAAAATACAACACCTACAAAATCACAATGTATTTCATAAGTTAAAAACTGTAGCACACAATTCCATTATAAAACATCCAACTTTGATTAGCCTTTCCTTGTAGAGGACCTGTATACTGCATTGAGGACCTGCATTTTTCACTGAGCACCTGTGTAATGCAAGAGTCAAAAAGAGAACTGTGAAAATATCTACAGACCCCTCACATCCTGGATATAAATTGTTTCAACTTCTACCCTCAAGACGCTATAGGGTACTGCATACCAGAACAACTAGACACAAGGACAGTCCTACCCCATGCCATCACTCTGCTAAACTAATTCCCACAACACTGTCAAATTATTTGTTAAAACTGTATTACTATTACTCTTCTCATCCTTCCCAGTACCTATCTCTTCCCACTTATGACTATAACCGTGTTGCTTGTATCTTTACAATTTATATTGTTTTGTTTTCTTAGTATGATTTGATTGCTTATTAGTAACCTATGACTATCACTATGTGTTGTATCTTACGATGAATGTATTTTATTTTTTCTTTATATACACTGAGAGCATATGCACCAAAGACAAATTCCTTGTGTGTCCAATCACACTTGGCCAATAAATAATTCAATTCAACTCTATAGATAAGCAAATCAACCTCCAAAGCTCCTTTTCAAAAATATAGTTTTTACTACTTTTCTAAAGAATGACATGATATGGACCATTTGCACTTTTGGAGGGGAAGTTTTCTCCAGTAAAAGCAACTGTTGAAAAGAACTGCCTGCAACCCAGCAGAGAGGCAGCTCCTCTTTCTTGCTGTTCACAAGGAGTGGAAAGACTGAAGATCCAATCTGGGTTGGCCGACGGGACCAGAGGTTTACTCTTCCTCTACTAAACCTCTGGTCCCAGTGACCGACCCACACTGGATTCTGCAACTTTATCCTAGGACACATATATTTTCCTTCATTTGTGGGCAGATTCAATTTGAAGAAGATGGTCCAGAGAAACCTGAGACTCAAGTTCTTCAAGGTTTTACAGGTTAAAACTAACATTTTGAATTGTACCCATAAGACAATGCAGCATAGAATTGATGTCATGCGACTGTAGCAGCTCTTAGTTGCCAGTAAATTGTTGATCATTTTGCACCGACTGCAGTTTCCAAGTAATTCTCAACGGCAGCCCTACCTAAATCCCATGGAAGAAGTCCACCCTTGAGATGATGAGGACATGAATTAGATCTTCCAATTTCAACTAATCCCCATTAGTGAGACACTGAATTGACTTATTGTGCTTCCTGTCAGCCTTGATTCCGAGTGACTGACTAAACAAGTTCCTGCGGTTTTCTTGGTAGGAGTTTTCGGAAGTGGTTTGCATTGTCCCTGGAGCTGGAGGGGGGGGGGGACGGACTGGGCCCAAATCATCCAGCTGGCTTTGTATCCAAACATGGGGGGACTAAAACTCACAGCCTATCGCTTTCTAACTTGGTGTCTTAAAAACCACTACACCAAACTATAATTTATATTCTGCCATTCTATACAAAGATGAACAGAAGATTCATTCTAGATTTAACTATAGCCTTTGGAAATTAAAAAAATAAAATGAAATTTGAATTTGTTTTAAAGGCAAAGAGGAGCCTGCGGGACTCCTATAAAAAGAAACGTGGGAACCTGCTCCAGTCTTGGTGACCTGGATGGAAACAGGCCGCAAGCAGAACCATTGCAGGTAAACTGGCTCAAGCATCACCTCCAGGCAGGCGCCCGTCTCACCTGCGGCACCAGGGCGCCCTTCGCTTGCAAGGAGACCAGAGTCCACCCCAGCCCCGAAACGCGCAGCATGTCGAGGACGCGAAAATTAGACGTCATCCACCCGCTGCGACAAGGGAGACTCGGCTTCTTTAGCGCGCAGAGCAGACCCTCCCTTCACTCGGCGCTGATTCGCTGTAACCCTCCTAGGCGTTTCATTGGTTGAAGCGAGACGCCGCTTGAACCGTAGAGAGGCAAAGGGAGTCAGGCCCGCGCGGTGCTGGGTTTAGATCGGTTTTTCCACCCGAACTCGGCAGCTTTTAAGATGGACTTGAATACTATTTAATGATGCAAATACTTAGCGATCTAGCATTTGCAGTATAATAATTGAAGGAGATCAAGTAACGTAAATAAAAATTATTTTAGTTTAATTATTTATTTTATTTTAGATCGGCAGTTGACAAATGATCTCAAGGAGCCACATACCCTGGGATATATCTTCCATGCAATGCAGCGAGAATAGAGTAGTTGCAGCTGTACTTTGATATGCAATGCAGAATCTATTTACAAAGTGCATATATATCACTAAGCATCTTTTAAAGATATATACAAATTCGACCGAAGCCTTGATTCCTAAATGAATGGAACAGTATAGCGTTAAAAATACAAGTGCGCAGTGTTCATTGCACATATAAACATCACATTCCACTTTGTATAAGTTATCGTAAAGAGGAAGACACAAAAACATCTCAAAATGAGAAAAGGCACCATGGGTTTTAATGCATATATTAAATGTTTCACTTTGCCTAGCTGGTACATTCTTGAGTTTCTACTTTTAAGCAAGAACCAACACTTGAATTCCACATCATTCTTAGGACAGTTTTATGGAACCTTGTGGATTTCAGAGGGAACTTGAGTTTGTTTCTGAGATTCTGATTAGTGATTTAACTGAGGCCTTAATTGCCACTTTGGATTGAGAGTGTGACAGCTTTGGATCACATTGTGCCTATATGGCAGAAGTTTCCAAACTTGGCAACTTTAAGACTTGTGGACTTCAACTCCCAGAATTCTATATGGCTTGATTCCAGAGAGCTGTGATTTTCAAAGGGCCTTCTAGAAATTAAATGATAAAATGTTGCTGGAAGAGGATGAAGAGCAAAATCAGGATTTTAGTCATAGGGGGAAAAAACTCTCTACTCTAGAACCAGTCGCTAAATCCAACAACACCGGACAATTTGTCTGTTGGGGAAGTATCTTAAGCTGCAGCTTTGGAGGTAATTTTAATTTTGGGGTTCTCCCCTAGGTGTAATAGTGAGATGGCATTAATCATACTTGTGGATCACCTCTAGCAGGACTGGGATAGAAGTAGTGTATCGATCTTAACCTTCCTTGGGTCTCTCAGGTCCCACTTTACAACATCCAGAGTTCTTGGCTTTCCCCACTCCTATTTAACAGTTACATGAACCTGCTAGGCAAGGGTGAAGTTATCTGATAGCACAAGGTCAAATGTCATTAGTGTGCTGATGGTTGATGATAGTTTGACTCTTGACAAACCAAGTGATGCTATTGAGCTTCTACCTCAGGATCTGCAGGCTATGGGGGCCCAAATGGGGAAAAACAAGCTTAGGCTCAATCTTAATAAAACTTAAGTAGCTATGGAGTTTAGACCCTCACCCCCACCCCAAATCTGGGGATTTTCCATCGCTGGTTCTGGATGGGGTTGCACTGCCCCAGACACAATTGGTGTGCAATTCTGCAATTTCTCCTAGGCTCTCAACTTCTGCTTAAGGATAAAAAAAGAGCCTTTGAACAAATACATCTTGTGCATCATTTGCAACCGTACCTGGACCAGGAGGCCCTTAGGATAGTTATTCATGCTTTGATCACCTTGTATTTGCACTAGTGCAATGTGCTCTATGGAGTTGGCTTTGAAAATCACACGAAGCCTACCACTGAACCAGAATGCAGCAGCAATAAGTATGGACTGCCTTGCTACATCTGAGTAATTACAACTGGGAGAGCTGCATAAGCTCCCAGTAGATTTCTCCATCAATTCAAGATGCTGGTTGTCATGCTGCATGACTCAGGGTCTAGATTATTTGTGGGATCACTTGTTTCCAATTATTTGAGGACAAGTTCTGAATCCTTTTCATTCAACAGTACCATCTTAGGGGACCTACAAAATGTATCTTTATTCAACCCGATCAAACAGCATATCACCTGAGATTCAGATGCTCTGACTCTGATGTGGATATATATGTTGCCCCAACTGTGATGTGCATCAGAGTATATTTTTAACTTGCTGTTTTTCTCACCCTGGAGCAAATGTCAAAGGGCAGACATGCAATTCAAATCAATGAATAAACTTTCCTAAGTGCAGCAGAGTCTACCTCTGTTCACCATTAGAACTACTGCGTTCTGTCTTATGTACACAAACCATTTGTTGCCTCAGACAGCCACTTCCGAACATTCCTGCAAAAAAGAACAAAATGAGACATTCCTGAAAGCCATAGCACTCCTAGAAAATACACACTCCTAAAGATGTAGTAACTTCAGATTCCTCTCATGGTTTCTTCAGGAAAAGAGGATGAAGACATAGAGAGAATGGCTGCCTCATATTAAATCCCCACTGGCAATACATACTTGTTAGGACCGCTGCTGTTTCTTCAGACAGGATTCTTCCTTGCAAGGTTTGCAGATCTGTTCTTACAGAAATTAGTGAGAGATACCAAGTTCACTCCACGCTGAATTCTCAAATCAGTGTGTTTGTTTTCGTTTTAAAAAAAACGGAAAATGAATATTCCACTGTTTAAGACCAAAGATAGCCTTGAACCAATTTAACTCTTGCTGGTCACTTTGTAGATGTTAATATTCTCGGTCTCATTCCTAAAGGTGAGTTTTGTGGTGAAGTACATAGGGAGCAGAGTCTCAAAAAACAGTGCTGTACTATGTTCCTCTCTCATTTTTGAAGAGAGATAGATAATAGATTGAGCACCGCATACATGCTGGAGAGTCCGTATCAGGAGTGGGTAAGTGTCCTTGAGATAGACAATATCTGCACCCAGGATGAGGTCATAATTTTGAGGAAAGTCCTTGTGGTCCAGACCCCATGATAGGGCACAAACCCTGGTTCGGGCGATGCATTGCGCAGGCAAATTCCGATGGACATTCTCCTCTATCTGCTTCAAGGCCACGGGAAGATCTGTGATGGTTACATGGCCTCCTAAAAAAGAAAGGGAACTCTGAACAACAAAAAGCTTTCAAGGATTTAGACCACAGGTATTATCCACAACTAACCAAATTATCTCCAGCTATGCTTAAAAACAATAATAAGTCAGAAAGCGCAGCCTTGAGATCCATCTGCTCTCTTGACACATGCAGAACCTTTGTTCTGCATAAAAAAAGGGAATACAAATATCATCATAAAACTTCATGTTGAATTCAATAGTTCTATGCATAACAATATACCAACAAGAAACCGTGAGATGGGATGGCATATAAATGTAATTTAAAAAAAAAGAAGTACAGATAATCCTCGCATTAAACAACAGTTCATTTAGCAATCTTCAAAGTTACAATGGCACTGAAAAAGGTGACTTAGGGCCGTCTTTCATACTTACAACATCACCATGGTCACGTGATCAAAATTCAGATACTTTGGCAGCTGACTCATATTTATGAGGGTTGCAGTGTCCTGAGGTCATGTGATCACCTGTTGCGACTTTCTGACGAGGAAAGTCAATGGGGATGCCAGATTCAGGTGAGAACCATGTTACTAACTTAACAACTGCAGTGATTCACATAACAGCTGTGGCAAGGAAGGTCGTAAAATGGGGCAAAATTCACTTAATGACCGTTTCACTTAGCTACAAAAATTTTGGGCTCAATTGTGGTCTTAAGTTGAGCGCTACCTGTAAGCTTTTAACACATTATACTGTAGATCACAATGACTCATAATCTGTCCCCATGAAACCTTCACCTGCATTACAACATCCAAAGTTTAATTAATACAGGTTAAGCCCTCAACTTACAACCAATCCTTTAGTGACTTTCAACGTTACAACGGCGCTGAAAAAAGTGACATGATCATATTTCACACTTACAACCATTGCAGCATCTTCATGTGATCAAATTTGGGACACTTGGCAACTGCATGTATTTCTGACATGCGGTTGCAGTGTCCCAGAGTCATACATTTTGTGACCTTCTGGCAAAGTCAATGGGGAAGCCAGATTCACTTAGCAACCGTGTTACTTACTTAGTGAGTGCTGGTGGCACAGTGGTTAGAATGTAATATTGCAGGCTAACTCTCCCCACAGCCTGGAGTTTGATCCTGATTGGCTCAAGGTTGACTCAGCCTTCCATCCTTCCAAGGTCAGTAAAATGATGACCCAGATTGTTGGGGGGCTATATGCTGACATTGTAAACCACACAGAGAGTGCTGCAAACCACAATGGGGAAGTATACAAGTCGTAAGTGCTATTGCTACTAACTTAAAAACTGTAGTGATTCACTTAACAACTGTGGGAAAAAAGTTGTAAAATGGGGCAAAACTCACTTAACTATCTTGCTTAGCAACAGAAACTCAGGGGTCAATTGGGGTTGTAAGTTGAGGATTATCTTCCCTCTCTTTGTCTGCAGTTAATTCAACATACCAAGAAGCGATGCGAGGATCCCAACAACACCTGTCCCAGCACCAAGCTCTATCACTGTCTTGCCCTGAAAATTCACCTTCTTTGCTTCAAAATATTCACAGAGAGCTAGAGCCTTAAAAACAGATGACGGATTAACATTTTAGAATGAAAAATTAAAAAAATGAATATATAGTCCAAATATATGAATTATTTTTGCTTCACAGATTTCTTTTGATGCAGGCACCATGTTTTCTACTCTACTAAGTTTTTGTTTCTAAGCAGGCAATGTTTTAGCAATTGTTTTGAGTTACTTTGCATTCAATTTTTTTTATGTAAATCTATTCTATTTCATCACCCTGGTTTCTCACACATCAGCAAGTTATTATTACTTGCAAAATTTATTTCTCTGTCAAATTTCTGAGAAACAATGTTTTCCCAGAACAACTGAAACCCTAATGGTGGTGCTGCCAATTGGAAAATGGGAGGACTTTTTCAGGCACATCTGG